GAGTTTTGTAGGACATGCGCTACATCCATACACATTTTCAAGGCATTTTGCCAAACCAAACAAAAAATCAAAATCTCCAAAGATGGCAGTGTCAAAACGTGCTCGGCCACTCAATTTTTTTTTCCCACTTTTCACTTTTTGTTTTGATTTAATTTTGGTGCCTCAAATATTTTATTGTTTTTTGAAACTTTTTTTATGAGCTTTATATTATGTGAAATACGAATCTACAATTTTTCAGGGCATTTGGCTATCCCAAGAAAAAACTGAAAAATCGCCAAAGATCGTGGTGTCAAAAACGTGCTCGCCCACTCACCAATTTTAATTACCTTTTTAATTTTATTTATTTATTATTTACTACGAAGATTTTCATGACCGGCCGGTCACCCGGGCACGACGCCCGGGTGACCCGATCATGGCAAAAAAAAAAAAAAAAAAATGGCGGTGGGGTTTTTCCGCGCTCTCCGAGAGGTTCCCAAATCCGGGCTCTTTTCTTTTTTTGAGAGTTGGCTGTCAAGGGGGGGAAAGGGGAGTGTAAATGAATCTTAAAGGGGCTAAAGGGGTTTAAAGGGGGGTACCTTAGTGTGATATGGTTATTTTCTTTTTTATCTTTAGTTATGTGAGGAATTCTGATATGACCCTCAGCCAAAAGTTGTTTGTATTGCAATTCTACACAATATATTTGTTTTTCAGATTTTTTTTGGACTTATTTTTTATTTATTTTTTTTTATTTATTTTTTATTTATTTATTTTTTATTTATTTTTTTTACGCTGAGACTGCCCGGGGTTATGCCCGGCCGGTCACCCGGTCGCCAATCCGGGCATGACATCGGGAGCCGGGCGCCCGAGATTTCTCCCTAGATTATTTATTTATTTATTTTATTTTTCTTTTATATATAGTAAGGAATGCAGATGTAACGCTGAGGTAAATGTTGTTCGTTTTATGTTTTTGCATACCACATATTTGTTTTCAGATTTTTTGAAATGTTTATTTGTTTTTAATTTTTTTTTAGGTTCGCCTTCGGCTCGAACAACCGAACGCATCCCCAATGGGGGCCGAACGTTCGGCATGTTCGGGTTCGGGAGTTCGACCGAAATCGAACGCGGGTAACCCCAATAATAATAATAATAATTATTATTATTATTATTATTATTATTATTATTATAATATTATTATTAATAATAACAATAATAAATTAAGGCTACCAGAGTGGGAATACCCTTTCTCAATTTTGTTGGGTCGTTTGTAGAGTATTTTTTCGGGACCATGTGGTCAGGTACCGGACTAGGGCGTGAAATCGGAGTTGGGATCTGTTTGAGGGACCACAAATGGGAGCAAGGGGGGTAGTAGGAACTTTGTCTTAGATAAGGGAACGAGAATAGTGAGTGTTGTTTGGGATAAAAACAGTAGGACTAACGGATAGGACCTTTTTTTTGTCTCACAGGACACTATCATGGAACGAGTGGTCAACTATTTTGTTGATGCAGACCGAACAGACAAACTTAATTTCCGCTTATGATTGCATTTTACTATTTTGACCACCGGGCACTTCCCATGAGTTAACGATTTTTTTTCATAATGCAAGTACAATTTATTTCGTCTATGTCGCTTTCGACTTCTGTGTCGTTTTCGACTTTGTCGTGTTTGCTGTGAGGTGATTGCGTTTCTGACGCTATTGCACTCTTTCCTATTCTATTAACAAAAGTCGCAACCTATTAGGCGACTGATTATACCTAGGTGAGGTGGCTGCTTCGATATTGCGAATACTGCGAATATTGTAGAAGAACTACAAAGACCATTAAGAGTCTAGTACGAGGAGGAGATAAGCGGAACAAGAAAGTGGTGTTCACACGAAAAATCCACAGAATGAGCAATGGATCCTCGGAGAATAAGTCTGATGAAGGGACTTCCAAGCCACCGGTTGAACGACGGAAATGTTACAAGTGTGGTGAGATGGACATTTTGCGAGGGACTGTGCTGAATTCTGGCAAGCGAGAGCACTTGGGCAAACTTTCGTGTCGTCGACGTATGGGTCAAGCGGCGGGAAAACAGAAAGATCAGTCGAACGAGAGAGTAATGTGAGAAGAAGTCAATCAGTGGATAGTGAAAATTATCGCACAGAAACAGACAACACAAGTGTGCTCATGCGGGAGTATCTTGTTGCAATAACACAAGACAGGCGCGATAGGGTCGATAGGGAGGCAGTTGAGGAACGACGGAGAATAGAGGAGGAATAAAATTTGACGACCGGATAAGGAAGAATGAAGCGACCAAAATTGTGAGGAAAAAGATTGGGGGACTCAAGATAGAAGGAGCCTTCAAGAAAATGATAAAGCAAAGGACAAGCGTGAAATGAAGTAGAGGTCCTTATGTAGGCGAATCAATTGATAACCACTGGCGTTTTGCGTCGTTGCGTGTGGCCACCTGCACATGTGCTGGCAAGCGCTATCCAAAAAAGGATGGGCAAGTGCATTTCCGAATCGACAATCTTGAAGGTATCCCGACGATAGTGAGAAATGCCAAGAACGTTCCGAGGCACGAGAGTCGGGTGAGAAGGGAGACGTTGAAAGAAGAACTGGAGGAGGCGTTTAGGACATTCAAGGAAAAATCGGGATCAAAGGAGGATTGGTTGACGTCACGAGGGTGGAGATCAAGCAGTGTTTCACAAAAGAGGCGAATAAAGGGAATGACGAGAGTTTTTATACAGTGAGAGAAAAACTCTAAGGTCTGGTGTTGTCCCCATTGGACAGAAACCCGGGTGACACACTAGTTATGTGTACGGCGCTATATACAAAAAGGATGGCAACCACCTTTATAGAGAACAACTGGAAAGGATACCTCGAGTGTGTAGAGGAGGAGAGTGTCGTGCTGGGGTTGGCAGGTGAAGAGTACAAGCGAAGAAGGATTGAGGAACATGGAAAGTGGAACGAGGCAGGGAAGGTGGGGCAGGTGTATGCACTACCCAAGCATAAGGATACGGAAAAATTTCGTCTTATCTGCCCTACCTTTGACGAACCATCAGTCAGAGAATGCAAGAAGGTTTCGCAAGCGATTAACGGATTGTTGTTTGCTTTCCGGAATCGAGTCATTTTAACCTTCGTGCAGTCTCAATGATGAAGGAGAGGTTGAGTAGAATGGATGATAGACTAGCGAAGACTAGTACTGACGTACTTGTGTTGGGAGCTTCGTACGGCATTAAAGACATGTTTAATAAGCTCCCACATGAGACAATCATGAGGGTTGTCGAGTGGTGTGTATTGTATTTCTCTCAAAAAGGTTTTGCTGGAATCTTTGTAACAAGGTCGGGGCGGGGTGTTAAATTGAGTAAGAGCGATGTGATCGAGGGATGTGTGAAAAGTTCGTTCATGTACCTAGTGGAATTCGTGTCGTTTAAGTTGCAGTTTTGTTTTACGCGGGCATGTGGAGTGTTGCTGAGACAGATTGTGGGAACACCAATGGGGAAGAGCTCGAGCCCTCACTGGTATGCCTTGTGTATGTGAAGTCTGAATGAGACTTTTTGTTGACGCTTGGTAGTCGGAGAATGATGGTTGTCGGACTGAGATTCGTGGACGATGCGTTTATCTTCGTAGCATGTAATCCACGAAGGGCGGGATCGAAGGAGAAGGCTAGGGAGATAATCAGAAGATTTGAAAATTGTTATGATAAGGCGTTGACTTTGAAACGCACGGATGAGGTTGACAACCAATGGATGTTCTTGGGATGTAGATTGACAATTAGGGAGGAATTTCCGTTCATTGGTACGGTGCAGGGTATGAAGAACGATGCGAAATTCCAACAAAGGGTGCAATGTCTTTCCAAGCGTGTCTTTCCAAGCGTGTCTTTCCAAGCGTTTCAAGATTTTAATTCCTGGACGAGCAAGCAGGCCATGATAGCAGTTATCATAAGCGCGCTGCATCGAATCTATCAGCATTTCATGGACGACATGGATTTTTTTTATACTCTGATCCTCCTGAGGATGGAATTGCGGAAGCGCAATTACCCGGATGACTGGTTTGGTCGGACACTCTGGAATTTCACAAGGGACAAGAATGAGAGTTGGAAGATCTTTGTCGTACTGGTGACGGATAACAGGATTCTGGAGTAGGGGTGATGATTTATAGTTTTCTATTTTTTTTTAATTGAGAAAGGAAGGGAATACCCTTTCTCAATTTTGTTGGGTCGTAAAGTATTTTTTTAGGACCATGTGGTCAGGTACCGGACCAGGGAGTAGAACCGGTGTCGAGCGCATCGGCCCTCGCGTGAACGAGGGCCCTCCCGACTATGTCACGCATGAGTTAGAACAAAACAAAATCAAGAGACAACTTAGGACGATGCATAAGTGATTCCGCGAGCCGCCGAGACGGACGCGGTTGCATCGTCCCTTCGCCGCTCTAGCCGGGTGCGTCAGCTATACATCCCTCGGTCCCCTACGACAGGATAGGTTTTCGTGGGGCACAACTTACTTTCCCTGAGGGGCTGTCACCACCCTCAGGGGCGTATCCCTACCGAGCTACTGACCCACGTGCGAAAGCTTTTACATGCAATTGCAGAGGTAGGTCAGCCGAGGGCGTTTGCTCGTTCGCTGACTTATCTCTGCAATTGCATGTAAAAGCTTTCGCACGTGGGTCAGTAGTTCGGTAGGGATACGCCCCTGAGGGTGGTGACAGCCCCTCAGGGAAAGTAAGTTGTGCCCCGCAAAAACCTATCTTGTCGTAGGGGACCGCGGGATGTATAGCTGGCGCACTCGGCTAGAGCGGCGAAGAGACGATGCAACCGCGTCCGTCTCGGCAGTTCGCGGAATCACTTATGCATCGTCCTAAGTTGTCTCTTGATTTTGTTTTGTTCTAACTCCTGCGTGACATAGTCGGGAGGGCCCTCGTTCATGCGAGGGCCGATGCGCTCGACAGGTGGCGTTGTTGCCGGGGATGACGGCAAACTATCATTGTCCCTGGTGGAACGACACTCGGGAAAAGGCTGGTTATAGCGATTTTAAGTGTTGGATGTTGTTTGTTTGGATTGAAAATGGTCAGTGGTTATCAATGTTTGAAGAAAGAAAAGAGGGCAAGGTTTGGAGTGAATTGTTGCAATCTATTTGACACTTGGACGTGTGGGTTTGTCGTGTTGATTCTCTCAAGATGACGGGAGGAAGTGCTGATCCCGCAAATAGTAATGCAGGGGATCGTCGCAACGACAGCTTGGAACTCGCACGAGCCATTCGGGAAGTCGACAATCAGAAGGTGCAACTGCCGAAAGTTCAAGTTCCCCTCTTCGATGGCACCAATGTCTCAGCATGGGCGGACAAGTTTGAGCAATTGGGCAGTTGTTGTGAATGGACGAATGAGAAGATGCTTCAAATGGTGAAGCGATATTGTATGGTCGAGTATAAAAAAGAGGTGTCGGAGTTGGTGCAAGCTTCGCGCGACTGGCCGGACTTCAAGGCCAAACTATTGGACGAGTACCAATTGGGGGATCAACTGCTCGACCTGGCGGGCTTACGAAAAGTTAGTCGTCGGAAGTTTGGTACGGCCAAGCAGTTTCTCACGGAGTTTGAACGGGTTGCGCGTTTAGTGCCTGACCTTCCAGATAAGGATCGGTGTCTTATCTTCCTCGATAACTTTTCGGAAGTTGAGCAGCGGGAATTGATGAAGGATATGACTGGTCGATACGACTGGCCAAAGATCAAGGAGAATTTGTTGGCGGGAAGCTTCGACCAGATGCTTTACCATCTCCTGAAGCAGCAAAAAGAGGACCGCGAGAAAGAAGGGGTAAGCGCGGACAAGGACCAAGCCGTTTACAAGACCCTGACTAACATGCGGAACATGACGGCTGACATGAAGGAGGAAAGGTTAAAGCTACAAGTGATGATGGTCCAGACGAAAGGGGGAAAACGGAAGGGAAAAGCACCCGTTGTGGAGGATGTGAGTAGTAGTAGCAGTGAAGAGGAAGATGAGGAGGAAGTGGAGCCCCCTCGAAAATTGACCAAGGCAGAACGGAAGGCCCTAAATCAGATACGAGGAGGGCAAGGCACTAGTAAAAAGCAGCGGAAGAACAATGGAGGAGGTGGACAAGGAAGCAATCAGGAACAGGCGACGCAGGCCCCTCCTCAGCAACCCCAACCTCGGGCAGGAGTTCGAGGCCGAGGTAGAGGTAGAGGACAAGGCACTGGGGGAGGCCAAGGAAATGGTGGCGGCCAGGGCAATTGGCAGAATTGGTTTTGCAAGTATTGTGACCAAGATGGGCATGGGATACGGTTTTGTCAGACTGTTACCAAAGATGAAAACGACAAGGTTATATATACGAATATCCGAGGCGAGGTCTACGACTTTGAAGGGAATCTCATCGATCCCAATGTGGAAGGGGGAATGAGAAAGGAAGCCTTCCGACCTATGGGGCGAGATCTTCCAGCAACTTTTCGACTGGCTTCCCAGGAAGAAGTCGAACAGATCGAGTTGGAAGCGGCGATGGAGTCGTTGGCGATTGAAGATGCCAAGGCCGGAGATGAAGGTTTGAGCAAAGAGCAGGAAGAGATACTGCAGCGAGCTCAGACGGTGGTCAGAAAAATGACTCGATGCAGGGAAATTTTCGTTCAAATATGTGCCGACATGAACGAAGAGTGGTCCGGGTTTCCCCAAGTTTTTTTGTTTGGAGGATGGGACAGAGACGGCCAAGGAGGTATTAATGATGTTACCACATCACAGCCTGGATCGCCGTCGGCAGGGCGTTTGATGGCCACCACGGTCTTGTCCCGTCCTGCTTTCAAGCGACCTGCCACCGCTGGTCTCCCACAAGCTCAGAGGGCTCGAAGGTCGCCGCGGCCAAGGGCAGCGCCAGAAGAATGGCCAAGTCAGCCTCGGGAAACCGAGACTATTCCGATTGAAGAAGATGATGGCGAGGAGGACGAGTTGTTGCGAGCCGAGGATGAGCGGCAGGCCAAACAACGGGCCATGGAGAGGGAGCCAGAAACGGGCAGGGCCGATGTTGGGGAAGGAGAGTTGAAAAAGGAAAAGCAAGTCTACACTATTCCAGTAGAGCAAGGGCTGGATATTGAGTAAAACATGGATCGGATTTTGGAAAGCCAACGCGATTTGTTCACGCTCAAGGAGTTCTTGGCCGCGTCACCCAAAATCCGAGAGGAGTTCAGACATCGACTGTCAAGGAAAAAGGTGATGACGGTTAAGATGAGTGATATCTTTCCTCAAGAGATTAGTTGGGCTCCTCCTGGGAAAAAAATGGACTCGCACTGTGTGGCAACTGGGTTGTTGAAAGTGCAAGTTGGGTCGTGTGAATATTCGGCGCTCATCGATGATGGGACTGAAATGAACATTATACGGGAAAGAGAAGCCATGGGGGCAGGAGTGAACATCAATCGAGCGGATACTGGATTTCTGGTGGGTGCAAGTGGTACAACTCTCTTTTGCGTAACGGCGAGTGACGTGACGATACAAGTTGGTAAAGTCAAAGTCCGTTCGTACTTCTATGTGCTACCCAGGGTTGAGCATGCCGTGTTGTTGGGCAGAGCTTTCCTATGTCGATCAGAATCCATCATCTTTAACAAGCATGATGGTACTATGATTGTGGTTTTGTGTGACCCCGTATGTAGCTATTGCGAGGTGCTGAAGTGTGAGAACACATGACCAACCAACTCAAGGAACCGACTCAATCCGGGGTCCTACTCTTTCACGGAATCCGAAAGACTCAGGAGGGAGAAGGAATCCCTCGGAGAAGAGAGCGATCCCCAGGAATTTTCTCTTGCTCTGCCCAACATCTCTCAAGCGATCGAGTTCGTTGCGACAGACTCGTCCGTGGACCCCAAGTTGGTCCAAACGCTGACAGAGATTGTGGTCGGAGAAGGCGGGACTGATAGGATGTATCTCACCTATCGGTCCGACAGATCTTCTGAAGGTGATGTATTGGCAGAACCAGCAGCCAAGCAAGGGCCTTTTTTAGAGGTGGACGACTTGGAGTCGGAGTGAAACGTAAGTACAAGAGAGTAGGTGAGAAAGCCCGGCCAGTGCCCGTCTTGATCACGCAAAAAAAAGAAGTGTATTATAAAGAGGAGAGAGAATGGATCAGGACAAGGAAAGAAGAGAGTGCGAAGGCGCCGTGTCGATTGACGGAGGAGAGGAGTAAGAATATGATCATTGGAGAGGAAGGGTCGCTTACTGAAAAGGAGGTGGACTTCCTTGTCAGTGTCATGAAGAAAACTCATCTGGCTTATGCCTTTGATGATGATGAGCGAGGGAGGCTTGACGTTGACATGATTCCGATGATCAGGATTCATACGGTACCTCACGAGCCATGGAACATACGGGGTCCGCGTTATCCGAATCCGGATGATCATCGCAGAGTTGTTGAATATTTGGACGGCAAAATTCGGACAAAAGTCGCGGATTACTCATATGGACCATATGCGTCCCCTTGGTTTTGTTTCATCAAGCCAAGTGGCATATTGCGTTGGGTGCAGAACTTGCAGAGGCTGAACTCAGTGACGGTTCGTGATGCAAGAGGACTTCCGCATGCCGATCAGTTGTCGGAATCATGCGCAGGCAGGCCTATCATCACTCTCATTGACTTGTACTCAGGATATGATCAATTCCCTCTCTACACGGCAGACAGGCCGATGACGGCCATGCATACGCCGAGGGGATTAATTCATATGTGTGCGGCGCCTCAAGGCTGGACGAACGCCGTAGCGATTGTTCAGAGATATATGATGAGAGTCATGCAGCCGTTTTGTCCGGACGTGACCTCACCTTATATCGATGATCTGGCCATACCTGGGCCACGTGTCAAGGACGAGACGGAGATGCTGCCAGGCGTTCAAAAGGTTGTTTGGGAGCACGTTCGCAACGTGGAGAAGGTCATGTCCAAGTTAAAGGAGTACAACCTCACCGCCAGCGATGTCAAATCTCGGCATTGTATGTGCGAGGCGACTATCTTGGGCTTCTTGTGCGATGAGAAGGGTTGTCGGCCAGATTCCAAGAAGACAAACAAGATTCTGGAATGGCCGACTTCGCTTAAGTCCATCACTGATGTGCGCAATTTCTTGGGGACTTGCGGATTCTGGCGTATCTTCATTCGCAAGTTCGCAGCAAGGGTGGAGCACCTACGAAAGTTGGTGCGTAAAAATCAGGAATGGGAATGGGGTCCAAAGCAACAGGCGGCTGTCGACGACATCAAGGCACAATTCCGAGAAGGAGGATTGATCCTGGGGGTTCCGTGCTTTGACAATGACTCGAATTGGCCCTTTGTGGTTGAAACGGATGCAGGCCCCACAGCATTGGGTGGTGTCCTCATCCAAAAGGATGGAGAAGGGCGAGAAAGGTCATTGAGATTTGAGATTTGAACGCTGAATGAGGCGGAAAGGAAATATTCCCAATTTAAGAAGGAAAACCTTGCAGTGCTTCATTGTTTCAGGATCTTCCGAAACTACGTATTTGGGAGACGGTTCGTCCTGCGGGTTGATCCGACTGCCGTGGCGCAGTTACTGAAGAATTATTCTCCCCCGGATCCAACTATTACTCGATGGTTGATCTATATCTGGATGTTCGATTTCGAGATCGAGCGTATTGCGGGGACGCAAAATCGAGCCGATGGATTGAGTCGGATCGAGTGGGACTCCTCGAAAGATCGGGCAGAAGACTCTGTTCCTGTGGATGGATTTCTGGAAGCAGACGAGCAGCAGTTGAGTATCAATGTTTGGGAATATATTAACAATGCTTTGTCCCAACCTGGGAAGTCTATCTGGAGTTCTCCGAGTTGTTATCAGAAGCGTTCAGAACTTGTGATGAGAGAGCCCTTTACTGAGGAGAATCCCTGGGGCGAATGGTCCGCGAAACAAATGATGAGGTTGGCATTGTCTGACCCAGTACAACTTTCGGAAGTACCCCTTACGATTGAAGGGGGACATGAGCAAGGCGACGAAGTCCTCAGGATCTCCGAGGGGATGGTATTCCTGGTTAATTCGTTGATACAGAAAGATCACGATAAGCTAATGTTGGAAGAAGGGGAAGGCAGTGAGATCAAAAAAGCCTTTCGTGAGGAGGAATATGATGGGATCTATAAGAAGATTGGGCTTTGGCTAAATGGTGATTTGAACGAGGCAGAGATAGAGCCAGAAATAAGAGGAAAGGCAAAGGACTTTGTCATTCGACAGGGGCATCTCTTCAAAAAGTCTGACGATGGAACACCTAAGAGAGTGGTGTGTGGGGTTCCCAGACAGTTAGATGTGATTGCGGCTCTGCATGATGGAGTGGCAAGTGGACATCGATCTGCATGAGTGACATTGAGAAAGATCCAACATCTCTATTTTTTGGATGGTATGGGTAAGATGGTGGCAGAGTTCTGCAGCTCATGCGTTCCTTGTCAGAAACATTCGAGCCTCCGTTATGTTGAACCACTTAATCCACGATATGTGGTTGAGCCAGGTGCGGTTGTGCACCTCGACATGATCGTTATGCCATCCGGGCTTAATGGGTATAGATACATTTTTTATGCGAGAGATGATCTTACCGGGTTTGTTGATGGGCGTGCAATCCGTGAGCGAATCGGGAAGATTCTGACAGAATGTATTGAAGAATTTTACCTTCGGTATCTATTTGTTCGAGAATTTGTGATGGATCGAGGTGGCGAATTTCGGGCAGAAGAGGTTCAAGCTCTTCTGAAGAGACAGGGAGTGAACTATAGTTACACCATTAGAGCACATCCCCAGGTTAATGCTCCCGTCGAACGTGGACATGCCACCCTGACTAACTTGTTAGCTAAATGGTGTGATGGCAAGTCGTCAACATGGCCCGTCTTTCTCAGAGCTGCCATATTTGTTGAAAATATAATCGTAAAACGGATTACTTGGTATGCTCCTATTACGTTATGGTTTGGACGACATGCTACATTTCCGATCGAGAGTTTCCTGACCACATGGCAAAAACAGGATATAAAAGTCAGGCTTTCTACAGAAGAATTGTTGGACTAGAGGGTCAGACAAATAAAAGCTACTGAGGAAAGAGTTGTAGAGGCCGTTGCGTCAACTGCGGATAGTAGACGGGCGAACAAAATTAGATGGGATAAGCAACCCCGGGTTAGGAAGGAACCGTTGGAAGTTGGGGATATTGTCCTCCTCTACGACTCTTCTCTTGAAAAGCAGTGGTCGATGAAATTAGATAATCGCTGGATGGGTTCATATCGTATTATTAAGAAAACGGAACGTGTGGCATACGAGATTGAGGAGATGGATGAAGCACGTGGGCGAGATTGGGTTTGAGGCTCACGCTTGAAGAAGTTTGTTCATAGGGACTAAGATAATGCCTTAATTTTCTTAACAGACATTGATACCACAGGCTAACTTGATTTTATGATTAAGTATTTGTAAGATATATTTTCCATGTAATGGGCAGACACATATGGACTTGTAATGAATTACTTGGTGACGTCATTTTTGACATTATTCTTCTTTATCGAGCAAGATAATTGATGTGCATAATGATTTTTCAAACCCTGTAAAAATGATTCTCTGAGTATGCATTTCTTTTATTTCTTATGTTGAATGTGTTTTGTTTGTGAAGAATAGGTGTGAATCATTTGTGCAAAGTTATGACTTAGTGTGTAACATGTGGCTTCCTGAACGATAAGTATTCGTTCTGTAGGCACATGGTTTAATAAATATAATAAGTTTATATGTAATACCTAGTCTTTATTGTGTCTTGATATTCCTGAAAGATGTGAGCCTTGTACGTGGTAGTGAGGCTCGTGCCGGAACTTGGTTCCTGGTCCACAACGAGATGATGTCATTTTCCTTGAAAAGGGTGATGGCTACACTATCTCCGAAAAGGAGGATGGTGTCGTAATCCTGTTGAGACCTCGCCTATGGTGGGGAGCGATCGTTGCTTATCACAGGGGTGGGGTTGGTCGTCTATCATTGTGATATGCAGGGTCGCCGCGTCCTTATGATCCTCGTCTGACCAACTTGGACTATATGGATGGGGCTGTCTCACCCTGTAGACGTGGCATTAACAGGGTTGCGATACTGGAATCGGAGGGAATGTGGTGAGGCTCGAATCTAAAGCGGGGCTTGATGTCGAGATGTTATCCTTTGTGGAGGATTACACCACTCCTCGACGCAGTCACGTAGAATTCGGGGATACTAAGACATAATAATCCTAGGTATTTGTAAAATTGCACAATCGGATGGGTTATGAAACTCGGTTAAAGGACTTAAATAATGGGTTATTGTATTGGATGGCTAGTTCAGATTATGTATGAACGATTATCATAGGTTGGGTTATGGAGACCTGTCAGAGGTTATTCCTGACTCATTCTGGGAATTAGCGGAAGGTTAATACGGGTCTTCCAGAAGGGATGGTGGAACACCGGAGCTTTACTATTATTATCCCCGACAACCGTGACGGTAGTATAGTACGAGTATCATTGTGTTACGTGGGAGGTCCAGGTTAAACTCCTCGCAACATGTGAGTGTGTTGAAGTATTGTGGAGGCATCCCCATGGACATTAGAGACCCGGGTTAAATCCCCGACAGTGATGGTTGCTTGCCCAGATGATTGAAATAATGATTTCCAACCGAATGAATTGTTAGCCAAAACCATTAAAACTAAATCCTTTGAATTTTGGGATTCCAGGGGCTGAATCTGGGCCTGAGTTTCGAATTTTGGGCTTCCAGGGGCTGAATCTGGTACCAATCTGATGAGTGCGGGATGATTGTAAATTTTGGCTTCGAGGGCATAACTCGTTTAATAGTAGGGAGTCCGTTCTTTTGGATATCCGCTTGTTAAAGTATCTGTGATTTTATTAAGATTGAAAGATACTGAGAGAGGTATCTGTAAAATTTAATATTGAGGGCACCGACCACGTGAACGACGTGGAAGTCGTTCAATGGGGCCCGGGAATGCTGTCGGGGCAGAAACCCTGACAAGGGTATCTGCCCGTGTTTTTCAACGCCGGACGCTGTCTGACCTTTTTACTTAATTGGAAAACTTGATGAGATTGACGTTGCCAAGGTTTATTCAAACCAGCGCTATGACTGAGAGACTTAAACTTTCTTGAACCTGTCATCGTCGACGTAGGACGGCATCGACGTCCGTACGGGATAACGGGCAACAGAAAAATTTCTGAGAATTAAATAATCATTCTAGAGTAAAATTACATTCTAAATTCCAAATTTTCATTCCATCTTAAAAAATGTCATTCCAATTTTAAAATTTTTCGTCTTACTTGGAAACTTTTCTTCCAAGAATGGGGTATCCCTTCTTATTTGAACTGCATGCTAGAGATGGAATGAAAGTCTGGATGAGTTCATGAAATATTTTAATTGGACTGTCATTCTTAGTAAGAATTTCTTGTCATAAATAGGTTAATCCAATCTAAATAAGACGATATTTGTTGTAGTAGAATGAAAGTCTAATTAAAACATTTCATAAACTCGTCCAGAATTTCATTCCATCTTGAACAAATAAATGTAGTTGGACTGGAAAAATCATATTTAGACGGGAACTTATCAAATTAAATTGGAAATTTTAGAATTGGACAAACATTGGAATGATAATTAATAAATATGAAGGATTTTTTTTTTATGGAATGTTTTTTTAACTTTCATTTCTCATGGGAATTTTTCTGTTGGGGGTCGGTACTGTCATCCGCGGGTTCGACAAGGCCGCAGTAGTGTGCGGTCATGGGAAAACTAAAGTTAAAGCCTAGGCTACCCATGATGAGGTCGCGCGGCTGTTAAGCCTCGCGATTTAGGGCCTAAGCGGACCAAAAAGGGGCCGTCGTGGCAAGATGGACCGCGGCGTGAAGGGATGGCTTAGGGTCCATACGGCTTTTGCGCCGAGGACCCGTTGGCGAAGGCGCCGAGGCCGGCTGAGTAGGGTAGTTGCTAAAGTTGTCGGTCGCCGACCCTGCCCGCCAGCCACGGCAGCAAGCTGGCTTAGCAGGCGTAGCCTGCTAGGCGCTAGGAAGGAGCCTGTTGGGCACAACGAGCCCTTCATATAGAAGGGCCGCTCCTTTTCTGATGTGAAAAGGAGCTAGCCCAGTAGGTACCGTCGCTAGCTTGCCACCCCGCAGACATGGGGATTGAACCTGACTAACGTACTACCGGGCTAGCTCCTTTTGGAGCAGCCCGCGATTTGGCAAGGGGTCCGACCGTGCGATCTTCGAGATTGCGCGGCTGAAGTCAGCCGCGCCGGGGTGAAAAGGCCCCTGAAAGGATGACACGCATAGGCCGAAAAATAGTCCGACGTTTTTTTTTTTTTGAAAAAAAAAAAAAAAAAAACCTTACTTGTCCTGTAGCTGAACGCGTAAGCATCCAGTTACAGGTGCGAAGGAGACAGCAACAACGTCAAGGTAACGACGTCAAGGTAAGGAGTTTTTTTCTTTTT